AATTCCCTTCATACATGTAGCAAACTGTCCTGTCCGGCTTCATTAGCCCGAATTGTGTTCAAAAGTAAAACGTTAAAGCCAATGAAAATGATGTGATATGAAATGGGATTTAACGTCCTTATACTGTTCTTCATCAACCAGGCTAATGAACCCGGGTATACCATGCATTGTACTATATATGAAGGAAATTTTTCACGGACAGTGGCACTACGGCCTTTCATCTAGTTCTCATACGTTCTTTCATGTGCCCGCTAATGTGTACATGGGCCCTCGGTTTCTTGCCAGGTCCTCCATCCTGCATCATTGACGTGGAGGAGACGCGCTGGAAAATCCAGAGCTGCACGCTGCAGAGATACGGGCTCCACCTAAAATGAAAACAATGAGAGGCAAGACATACGCAAGACACTTAAAGAGGCATTATGGAAGATTAGATAAAGGGCTAGCAGTTCTCACTATAATAGTTAAAAAATAGATAATGTAAAGGGAAAATGCTGAACAATTCAGTCAAATTGCTCCACTCTGAACCGAGATATAAGCGAATGAATTTTAGGCTTAGCCTAGATCATCGTTACTAAAGTCGGTACGATAAAAAAAACATAGTCTCGATTATCCATTTTTGCGTTTAATCACCAATGAGCACTGAGCATCAGATCGGATTCAAATCCAGTTGAAATCGAACATGTACGATGGCATCGAGAGTCGATTAAGGTCCTTTAGTGTTCATAAATGTCTATTTAATAGTTTACATAACATTCCAGCCTTAAGAAAGACCTGCAACAGGCTGATTTAGCTCTTGCATAATAATGTATACTTAAGGGAGCATTTCCGAAAAATTGTATAGTTCATAACTGTTTGTTAATGAAAGGGTTTTATTTAAACCTTCGTCTGGCAATCTAGGGCTCTGGCTTTTGACCGGGCAGTGTTTTTTTATGTCTAGTCTTGACTAACCTGAAGGCCCCAGGATCTTTGGAATTCTGCGGCGTGGTTTCCCTTTGTCAGTGGTACAGGATGGAGGGTCTTTCAAGGAACGGGGTCTGGTCGTTCGAACGGGACGAAAACCAGAGATCTCGTTTACACATTGACATGCACGTGGATTATGAGTTTGAACAAGCATGGTGTTACACCGTGTTACACCAAGTTAATCTGTGTTGAACACGGCGCATCCATCCCGATGGATTTTTTTCTGCCCAACCGTGTGTCATGAGGTAACCACTATTGAATCTTATATCGGATTGTCATTGAATATTCAGTGAGGACTCAAATCTTTCCAAAGTTTCAAGTTCGTCTGAAAGACCCATTTGTAAACCCACCCAGTCAAGCAATTATAGTTCAAAACACATTAAATTACCAAAACAGGTATGTGGCTTCTCGGTACTTTAACATTATTGAATATGAAAATTATGTTCTTTGGATTATCTATGTATTGATGACTTCTGGAGATGTTACTATGTTGCGTTGTGGTCCTCTGCGTGTAATCCTGGAATATTTGACGGTGAACTACAATATTGCGATGGTCTGGGTGTTTTCAGGATGGATTATGTTCCAGAACCAACAAGAAAAGATGTATTGTCCCTGGCGAATCATGGAAGCATTTGGCTGTTGTATCGTAGCCCTGGCCAAAAAAAAAACTATTCTCGGCATAAGGGTTGGTTTACACGGCATTCATCCCTGCAAACTGCTAACCTTGCACGCATTGGCTGTGTACGAATAAAATTCCAGGGTTAGGACTAGGGATTCGAGCATGCAGTATCTATAAAACCTCGAAGATAGAAGGGAAAATAGATATTACATATTTAATTTGAATTTTTTAAATGACTTATCTATTATATTTTTGTAAGATTTTACATCAGTATTTCGGATGATATGTCTTATTCACAGCCTCTGGGTCGTTTAGAAATATTTACATCTAAATCAAAATCAGCGCTTTTCTCTTTCAAATACTTGTTTTGACTACACTTAACGCTTATAAGGTTTCAATTTGGGTGTTGAAATCGTTCTCGTACTTAAAATTCCAGTTCAATTGGATGTTTTGTTGAGATTGGAGTTTTGTATAAGCCTATCTAAATAGTATAGGCTAGTAGGGTTTGCAGAATATATTTTGATTATGGTTGGGTGGTTGTTTTTCGGACAGGTTGTACGTTAAGATAAAGTAAGTGGTGCTTCAATAACGAGACAATGTAAGTTTTGTTTAAAGCCATCATCTATCTTTGGATTTCACCCAACTGTCAAGTTGTTAATCCTAGATACACTGTACATTTATATATCTTCATATACACTCCATAACAGCTGGCATCATAATTTAATTCCGCGAGAAACGACCAAGTGAATAATAATAATAATGACCATGAATTAACTTATGTTTATCTGTTTAAGCATTTAAACCAGAAATACGAAGGACCTATTTTACCAGGGCAGTGGTGCTCTCGCTTAATCTTGTACAATTTCCACTTCTCTATAATAGTTCGGGCGTCATTTGGTTTATAAATTCAATATTGTTTATGCCCTCGCAAATAGATTCGGAGATAATTCGTAACCTTGATTTTAGACACTTATAACTGGTGTCAAATGTAAAAAAAAACTACATGTAATTTGGATTCGGGTTTGATTGATATGATATATGATTCGAAATTTATATTGAAGATTTCATGAATATTTATCAATAATATATTCCTGTATTTTATTACGTCAGGTTTGGGACTCGTTATAACAAAAACAACTCTCAAACAATGAGTTAGCTAACAGACAGGCATCTGGGACAGATAAATACATAATTGGGCGTTTTATGACCGGCAATATAACGTATATTGAACAATGATCTGGCTTTTAGGCAATTAACCTGCCCACCTCCTTGATCAGGAGTCGCTCATTAAGTCGAATGTAAGACAATAAATATATAACAGCCTTTGTCACTGATGTAACTCCAGGCTTTTGATGAATTCGTTATCTTACTGATCAAGGCTTTAATAACCTTAGACGTGGGCAAATGAATGATAATTATTGCTCCGTCATAAACGGGTCATATATACGCAATGAATAATGCCTCCGGTTTTAACTTATATTTGCTGACACGCGCCAATGAAAGTTGTGTTAAGGTCACCGATTATCAACTTCACCCCATTCATCACAATGAATTAAAAAAAAAAATCATATCTGCACGATGTATGCCACCTTCTCTTTTGAAATTTTTATATGTAGGCTAATCATATAATATTTTGGTCTTATGAAAATAAACGTCTTTGTATTAAAAACACTAAAGTCATACTTCTTTCATTTCATTTGTTATAACCTTCCATTTACAACTGAGGGGGAAAGCCGAAAATAACCCAAAATAATAGAGAAGGAAATACAAACAAATTTTCCAAAATAAAAAGGGGGGTAAATTTATACACGAACCATCATCATTATTTATACACAAGGTGTTTGTATATAAACAGTCGTGTTGCTTTTATATCCAAAAAACTCTTACATTTATCATGTTTCGTTTTCATTTAAATTATTAACAGACTCTTAAATCTAAACTCCTTTCAAAAATGATAAAATTAAATTAAACTTTTTTCAGATGAATTGTCCCAAATTAGGTCCATAATGTATGATTTATTGTAGGGCTATACTTTAGAGGTTTATCTATTCTTTTAGATTCATTCATGAATGTATTTGCAACTTTCTTCAAGAGTTGTAGAAAATGAAACAACATAAAGAAATAAACAAAACCATAGGAGCTTTAAAAACCCTGGAGAAAATATACTGACGTACCTTTTATTGTTATTTATCGGATAATAAGAAATAAAAAAGTTCCGACACCTATTGTCATAAGTTTTCTGCCGATTCCGCCCTTTCAGCAAAAAATAAAAAAGAACAGATTGTAGAAAAGAATAATATAGTGCTTATTATAGATCTACATATTATAGTTATTAAATCTAAAACTATATGTATATATATGTCCGTATCCGCTGTCAAAATGTAGTGTTTTATTGTTACTTTTACTTTCTCTGTTACTAAACGAAAACATATATAATTTTTATACTTTATTCTCAATATTCCGAATGTACCGTTATCAAATTCTGTCGGGCTATATAAAATTTACAACAACATATAAGTTTATCAAAAATTGAATGGTTTGTTTTAATTATATTTCCTTTTATGAATAGCCGAGGATATTTATTACTAAATTGGATGATAAAAAACATAAGTATGTTATGGCTGTGTGTTTATCTTATTATTAATAAACTATATAACAAGATTATGATGTATTAGGATATTAATTGAACAAACAGACCTCTGCTCGACCAGCGACCCACGTAATCATTATAGATGTAAACTCGGCAAAGTACACCGTATTAAAATTTCGTTTAGCACCGATTTTAAGTGATGGATTTGAGATAAGCATTTTCGCAGAACGCATCCGCTAGATGGCGGCAGCTACAAAGGAAATAGAGTGTAAACAAATCTTGTCTCATTGCTCGGGCGCCACTACCATATAAGGTATCACAAAGGCGTTCCGATACATCAAAGAAAACTGCCGAGTGCTTAAACTGGGATAAATTTGTACAACCAGGTCCGTTCCACGCATGGCAAATAAATTGATATTACCCAAATATAATATATAAACTTTAATAAAATCAGTTTCAGGAGACGCTCTGGCCTTTACACAACTAAGAAAGCGAAATTCCAGCCGTAACGCCTCTTGACCTTTGCGAGCGCACGACTGACGAGTAGATTGTTGAGATAGTAGATAGGCGGCTAGATCAAAGACTTCTCACTGAAAACATCCAATTCAGACGCATAACAAGAATGTTCAGGGCGACGACGCTCTGCCCGGGCTCGGCTTTGTTCCTTTGCAAAAAGCAACACTGGAGTCACGACAGAAAGACGATATAGTATACGATACATGCTACTAATGCACTTTGTTGATGAATTTTAATATTTTTCTAACGATTAGCATATCGACATATGGATTTTTTCCCCGCAATATTTCCCGGGATAATGTAGTGTAAACACGGTAGAAAACTCAACGAAGTGCCGTCGCTATTTCCATTTGCACGGCCTGTGCTATATATTCGTGTGTTTTAACCGTAATTAAATCACATATCACTGGCGCACGATTTTCTCCACTAGACAATGGCAGAACGGAGAAAGTTTTGATTACAACAACACTCGGTTCAGTGATTGTAATAGCGAGGGGCACTTGCTGGACAACAAAGCCGAGTGACTAAGTGCTGTTGTAACGGAGCTTGTGATTGGTCGGCTATTCTCGGTACTCGTCGTTAATTGGGTGTTATTAGATCGCCTTTACGTAGTATATTCATGGCGGATTCAAAACGTGTGTTGAGGGACGTTATTATCCTGTGTGAAAATTAGATCGCAGTGCAGAACTTTTGACCATGCCGCATATGAGCTCAGGCGGCTCGGAAGATTTTTTCTCAAAGGATGAGGTTAAGGTGTATAAAGATGAGGGAGAGGAAGAAAAACGATCCTCTGAAAACCTCTCGGAAGAAAAGTTGGGACTTGTGACAGAATCGGAAGAGGTTAGTGCACGGTGCCCTACAATCGCCGATTTCTCTTTGATGTCTTTTGATCTTTTTGGACGGCTATTGCATCTCAAGGATACTCTGTAACGTGGATTCATGTATGAATATTGGTTAATATTATTAAAATCTTTACTATTACAGGGTAAAAATGGAAGTATTCAAGGGAATTACTCGGGAAACGACAAATCTAGCGGTGGTGGAAACGAAGAGGGTAGGTCTAGTTATTATGTGAGCTATGGCTAAAGTTGTATACTGTGTATAATTATGTGGATATTCTGTGTATTGTGCTGTGTTGGATGTATAGTACTTCGTATTTTCGACGAGAGAAATTTGACCTGCGATATCCTTATCAACAGTATTTTGAGGGAGATTTCGGCTGGCTCAAGCATTTCCTTTGATGTGTAAAAGTATGCACCTTTTGTCTGCCAAGCCTATTGTGAACGACGTATGCATCACAATGGGGGCGACTGCGCGGGATCGCATGCCGATATTGCTATCAAAAGGGCACAAACGTTACTTACAACTTACTGCAAATGTTCATTTAAACATGAAAGAGTAATATTCTGTTATATTTACAAATGCTAAAAGAAAGCTATTTCTCTTAAGACATCACACAAAGTTCGTGAAGAAATGAAAATATTTCTGTTAAAGTTAGGGGACCAGTGGCCTAGATCTTATCAATTTTTATGTATGTCAAGCTAAAGAAAAAGCTAAACAAAATAAAGCCCATTTATCAGGCATAATATTGGATATATTACTAATGATATGAAATATGAAATGCTTGAATTATCAATTAAAGTTATAATTTTTAAGTTTTTGTACCAAAACTACATGTAGAAGAAGTTTAAAAGGTCATGTTTAAATGTATACAGTATAAACAAAGGGCAACTTCCATAATTATTCAATTGTCATTAGATGGCAGCTAATATTTGTTAGTATTTTGATACATAATAACAATAAATTCTATGTTTGTCACAAATTCTGGAACATATTGTAACTTTGTTAACTAAAACTGATGTCTCTTTAATTAATGACCATGAACAGGTATAATACAATAATATACAGTAAAATGGAAAATTCTGAACATGATCAGTCAGTCATTTTACGTATTTACATAACACTTCATTTGAAAATCTCAAACTACCTACATAGGCCTACCACTGTTAAAAATTTGATGCTCTTCAAGGCCCTGACCAGTTGAAATTTAAAGGCAGTCTCTTTAAATGTATTATTCTGAAAAAATATTGGATTGCGGTATGGACTTAAGATGATTTTTTACTTTAATGTTAGTGTCAGGCTTTAAAAATGTTATTTTCATTCCAAAAAGTAACTAATGTGAACAAGTCAGTTGCGTTGATTAGTTTTTTCTAAAATGCTAATGTAGAATACAGCAGAATCACAAACCATACATAAGAAAGTGGCACAATGCAATTATACATATTCTCGCAATGAAACATTTAAATCAAATGCTAATGTTCAATGCAGGAAAAAACAACCGTACATAATAAAGCGGCAACAATGCAATTATAAATTTATACATATTTTCACGATAATGTGTTTATATCTAATAAAGGATTTATCAATCTCTGACATACATGTTTAATTTAGAATTATTAATTTTAAAATGGTACACTGATCCAGAACAGGAAAAGTAAAAACTACCATTTATTTTTGTCATCACACATGTTTATTAGCTTTATGAAATATTAAACACCATTGTAATAAAGGATTAGGAATTTTTTTTCTCTATCGCACGAAACCAAAAAAAAAAAAAGCAACTGAACTAATTTGTGTAATCGGATGTTAATAATACATACATAATAGATATAAAGCTAACCTACAATTTACATACATTTATAAATAACACATTGTGCAGGGTGCTTTCAAGTTTGACAATTACTAATTTCTGAAAATTAATCATATTATTTGATAAACCTTATTTTTTCCACTCTATTATACTTGAAGAAGAGTGAGAATTATGGAAGTTTGGGTTTCGATTAGAAGATGTTATTTAATTTGATGATCTAGGATATGTGGAAATAAATGTACATTGTAGGTATCCTACTTGGACATAAATGTTATTCTAGGATAGGACTTTTAGGAGTAAGAGTGGTACTCTACATATTTCATTGATTAGTAGAACTGTTATATTTAAGTGTAAAACTGAAGAGTTGGACATGGCTACAAAGTCCATTATGATGTCATATTATAGTCAACAAATGTCAATGTCATAATCCTAATCATAAATCAGTCTCGCGATAATTGATTGATACATCATACATCACTGATAATCAGGCACTGAAGTCATATTATCACATATTACATACAATTCAAATCACATTTTAGGATGTTAGTCAAAACTTGTGCTGAAAGGTTAGACATAAGTAAATATGGTTATTTGGCCATATCTCCCTCCACAATATACGGGTATATTGAAATATATATCAATCGGTACACAGTCCTTTATATTAATATCTTACCAATATAAATCTATATTATATATATCTATGTCTGTTGGGGGTCAAAGCTGACCTTTTTATTTCTCTGTCGACCTTCTCATATCAGAAAATTAGAATAAAATTGATGTCATTAATTTGACTTAAACTGATATGCCAACAATTGGTAAATGTCAACTATATTACAGTACTAAATGTTCTTTTTAGTGGGAATTTTGAGCAAATTCTATATATTTTTGAAAAAAAAAATGTAGCCTATATCTCACCTTTTTCTGATCTTTATTTCTGTTCAAATTTTTAAATTGAAATAATATTCGATTTACATGTAGTTAAGAATGTGATGAGCTATTGACATAAATACTGTATGTCATAACATTTGCACAAATCCCTTTCATTTTGACCTTTTTCTTGCCCAATTAGAACAGGAAATACTCTTTCACCTATTTGATGACAGGGATGTGTATAGCCTATCATTTTACACATGGGAGTCAATTCAAATAACCCATAATCTTGACAAATCCATTGGAATTCCATAAAAACATGACACCAAAACACAGTTGATGCTGTTTTATACTCCCAAATCTACTAATATTTTGAAAATCATAGATTTATAATTCAATGAATAGATTCTTTATGTTGACAATTTTATTTAATTTTCTACTAAAAGAAAAATGTTTTCACTTCTGATATCCAAGTGCTAACCATCACTTCATTTACCTGCAAATAGTAATGTGTGTTTTACACAAGGCAGGGTAGATAGACAAACTCTTTCTAGAATACCAAATACCACTTCTCACATATAGCTACTAATTTTTGTTGTATCTTTTTGTATTGTATGATGTTGTGGTCAATGTTTATTATTCTAATCGTAAAACTTATAATTGCATCATAAATCCCAGATATTTTATCTGGTCTCTAAGCTATGATGGATCTTGTGGAATATTGTGTTAGATTACAAATATTGACTGGATTATGTAATACATCAAGATACATATTATAATCTTTTGTTTGTATGTCACGGTTTACTTTGAGTCTTGAGAATTATGTTAAATATGTACCGCTACTTTCATGAAATCAAATGATCGACTAATCTTTGAGGCATGCTTGCAAGATTTGCGTCGATTTTTTAAAACATTATTATACATGTAAGCCTACAGCTGTTGTTAAATTATTATGGATAAAACAACTCGTTGCTTACCATTATACATTTATACATGTATATTACATACAAGTAGATAGATCAAAATCAAACTCTAAATGAAAGCTGGCTTAGAATTATTGCTATTATTAACTGTACACTATTAAGTTTGAATATGAATTGGACTGTCTGTTGCCTAAATGTTGCTCAATGCAATGGTGATTTGAGTTTGTGGTCGGTTTGTCAGAAATAAGGGGGTTTGGATGGCCAAATGGTTAGCATGTGCACGCTGTATCATAAGGTCTGTCATTGAGTCAATTGGTGTGGTTTCGATTCCCCGGTTGTACGTGACAAGGAGTAGGGTCGCCTGTCCAACCTCGTGGGTTTTCTCTGGGACCTCTGGTTTCCTCCCACTGCTAAAGACCCCTACACGCAAACAAATTATTGAAATGAAATTGAACCATGTGTTAGTCTCGAAATGGTCTAGTTTGTGTCGAGTGGACGTTAATCCCCATTTCTCTCTCTCTCTCTTGTCAGAAATATATGGCCTCTCTGGAGCCTCTGATGTGTAACGTCTTCTTGTGATAGAGGCCACGGCAATTCCACTCCCACCTGGATACCTGGGAGAATTTTGATGGATAAGTGAGTGGTTGATATCTTGATGAAAATTATCTGTTGTTAAAATGAAGAAATATTTCTTCGACAGCCAATGTACATACTAATTAAAATCTTCCTAGAAAGCTATATTTGCTGCTCTAAATGTTATGTTATGATTAGATGTCATGGAAATCCTTTCTAATTCAAATCTAAAAAAAGTATTTTCATCCATTAAAAGTAACTAAGAGTTCCATTTTGTGTGCTAATGGTCAGCTTTTCCCCCCTTTTCAATTAACTTTTGAATATGTTTTATTTAAGTAATAATAAAAGGGAAGTATTTTAGTTTTTTTTTAAAACTGTAACTTCAAAGATTATGTGAATTATATGATATGACAGGACACAACTGTTCTTTTTAGTCATCTGTGATTCAAAAAAGGATGATTGCTAAAAACAAAGTTAACCCAAATATTATTTTGTAGAGGGTAGAGGTCGAAAGGAGTTTGATTCAATTCCATATTTTATGAGAATTTGTTCAATTGGTTCGAAATGGGTCATCTTTGTAGTGATTTATCCGTTACGTGGCCTACATGTATGTTTACTTACAATTTTTGGAAAAACACAACATAAAGCAGTGAAGCGTTTTGAACATAGTAATCAATATTCAACACAATCTTACTAGTACAGGGAAATGTAGGCTTGTAGCAAATGAGCATGGATATGTTCTTTGGAAAATATTTGATAGGTCCATACATCACTGTTAAAATATGACAGTGATTGAAAGTTAGATTTTTTTGGAGTGGAAAATAAGGCATGACTAGTGGACTAACCCATGATATTTGACTGAGTTTTTACTTACTAATACAATTATCAGATAAAAACTATTTGACCTTCCTGTGGGGAAGTGGTCAGATGATATAATACAATTGCTTTTGGGTATTTTGAACTGACCACATGTAGGTTTCTCAGTTGGTATCAACCAAAAATGTCTACTTCTCATTGTGTAGATTTCACTAACTAAAT